AATCAAGGCTCAAATCAAGCTTGAAAGGATTTCGATGACTTCAATTCTATCTATTTCCATCATGCTATCTAATATTTAGTCTCTATTAAAGTGTGTGTTAATTGTTTGAATTCATGTAAAGTATATGTGTAATTATATTGAAGTCAAACATTTGGTTATTTGGCATGGACCATTTGCTTGTGTAGTCAAGGTTTTCTTTTACAGCATTGACCAAGGGTCAATGCATGAGGTAGAAGCAAAGGGCTTCAACCATATGAGGTAGTTTAGGTGGCTACATGTAGCGGCCGACCACCCCCTCCCAATTGTTCTTGGATTAGTGCTTGTAGTGAAAAGTTGTGATGAAATGGTGATTAATATGTGTGTTTAAACTACTCTCTTATGTGAAATCAAGTTTAATGTTGATTGTGTGTAACATTTGGAAAAAGAATTCTCTTATGGTTTGAAGCTTGGTGGCATTTGGAAAAATAATTCTCTTATGGTTTGAAGCTTGGTGGCCAACGGCCCAAAAGATTTAGTGATCTCCTTGGAAACCTACTTTGGTGTGTGAAAAATTTAATTTCTCTGCATTTCTTTCATTCAAATTTCATTTTGTGGTGTTGTGGTGTTGTTTACTTTTATGTTCCAAGAACATAAATCCTAAATTTTGTATGTTACCCCTTTGTTATGTTGTCTTAAGTGAGCATCCAAAAAGCTGTGTTTTTTTCTGAAAAATAAGTGCCACTTGAGTCATTTGTCCTAATTCACCCGTCAAATCATCTCCAAAAATTACAAATTTTGTGTCATTCTTTTCGTCTCTTTCCTACAGAAAAAATATAAAAAAATATGTAATCATATGTTAAAATTATTAGAGATACGCTTGCCCAAAGAAAGCCTAGTTTTCTATCGTGTGTTTCCAATTTCTACTTTTTTATGTTTCCTGCCCCCAAATTCATATCCATAATGGTCCAAACCTAACAAAACTCTCCTAAACTATAATAGAGTGTTTCCCGTATTATCTCCAATCTAAACTACTAAATTCTCATACTGCACAAAATTATCTAGCCCATTTCCCAAACTAAGTCATATAAGGACAGAACTGACATATCTCCAGTATACCTATGTTTCTTCACATCAAATCAATCCATAGACTTACCAAATTATTCAGATTAGTTGTTAGCACTCTACCCTACAATTCAATAACTTGTTTGCAAGATTTTGAGTTCAGTAGAGAAAGTTCTAGGTGATCCCCTGACACTAGAAAGAGATTGAGTTCACTTGATCACTTCTTAGTAAGATCTTGATCCTCCACAACATCAATCAACTCACCACATACTCTCGTCAAAACGTATAAAGTTACTTTCTTTGCATTGATTATTTTAATTTTTAAAATTAAGCATTTGCATTGGATTAAACTTTTAATTTTTTATTTTTATTTATTTTGGTATTTGACCTAATCCATGAGTTAAACATAATTCATTGAGGGATTGATAACTCGGACTCTAATCCGTCTATTACTTGATGGACACCTACACTTGAGTGAATGTCTGTGCATTGCACCACAGATCAGTCATCTCATTTTTTTTGCAGGATAGCTTTATTGTTTTTGCATGGAACTCCTCTGAAATGCTTGGTGTAAACCTTAGCATCAAAAACCAATGCCTCAATATCATCCCTAGAATATCCTAGGAAGAAACAAATCAAAGGTCAATAAGTTCTCAAAAGTCATGGCAATCTAGGATGTTCAATAGCTTGAGTGTAATTTATTGTTGTCAAAAAAGCTAGCAAGAGCTGGAGAAAGTATGTCAACTACAAGGGAGTCAATGATACTTGTCTTAAAAATTCTTATCAACCGGCAAATATCAATGTCATAGTGGAATTTGTTGTCTACTTGGGATTAAGATTTCGCAATGTCTTGTCAACATAACATCAAATCAAAATGCAACCAAGGCATAAGAAGAAAACTAGCTTCATAATGGATGAAAGGACTTCTGTTATAGAGTAATTTTAGTCAAACTCATGAATGTTGAGGCTATCGAAAAAGATTAATTGATAAATCCTTTCTACTGTTTAAAAAACTTAAATTTATCTAAATAAGGATGCACTGATCAAAAGTGACAGTGGTGAAGAGCATCTTTTCAACCTCATTTAGACCTCTTTCAAAAGTTATCAACCAAGCCAAACACTTTTTTAAAACTCAAAAGTGAAAGTTGCTTCAACATCTTGTCTCGGCCGAGTGGCTCAAGCTCAATCCTAAAAAGACCAACATTATGCACATGCCTTCTAAACCTATTCTGGAGGTCTCGCAAACTTGTCAGAAGTATGCAAATCTTAGTCATTTCATATCTAGGTCAAGAGAGAAACACGCACGTTTGCAAGGGCCTTCGAAAGTTAAACCATTATACATGGGACAATGATTGCTAGCAAACCTTCTAGCAATTAAAACAATATCTAACCACAATCTCAATCCTCAAACATTCACAAGGGTGTGAATTAGTTGGCCTAAAATAAAAAATTGAACCAAACCGAACATATTTGGTTAATTTAATTTGGTTTATGAGATTACGATTTGATTTTTAATTCAAATAAAAGTTTGTTTAGATTAGGGTTTTTGGTTTAAACTTGAAAAAAATGAGTTGAGCAAAAAAATTAAACTACATAGAGATTAAATCAAATACATTGACAAATTTAAATGATAAATGTGCAAGCCAACCCATTGGAACTAACATAGCACAAACCCTTTATGGGAATTTCAATTTTTCATTTTTCATTAAACTGGAATTGAAATGAATAAACCAAATTATTGGTTTGATTTGATTCTATATATTATTTTATCAGTTTAGTTCTAGATGTGATTTCATTCAGTTTAATTGGTTAAATAAATCTATCAACCAACCTAACTGAACCGATTGAATGCAAACCTCTAAGTATTTAAGGTTTAGTAAAGATTTGTGCCTATATCTCAAAGCTCATGCAAATCCAGTTAGTTTTGTCCTCATCTAAGAAAAAGATAAAAATCAATTCCCCAATCTGCTACTTCAACAAATCCTTGTGTGGAGCCAAACTGAATTATTCAGTGATAAAAAATTAGCATTAGCTTTGGCCTCAATAGTCTGTCACCTCAAGCCTTCCAATCTCGTTCAATCAAAGTTATCACCAATACCCTCCTTCATCAAATCCTAAAAAGATCATACCTTTCAAGAGCACTTTTGAAGTGCCCATTAAGCTTGGTGAGTTAATGGTCAAGTTCATGTTGTGCATAGCCATGGCTAAAATTCTTATATACTTCATTGTTAAATTCGCAATACCCTATGAGGATCAAAGGTTCAAGTTTAAGAAAATTGGGACAGGTACATTGGCAGGGTTTCGAGAGAAAATATTCATGTCGTCAAAACAGTCATTGAGAGCCTCGGGAAATAATCTTATGGTTATCCCTCTAGCAAAAATTCAAGCCTACCAACAATCAGGCTGAAAATGAAGGATTGCTTGTTAGCATTTGCCTCATCCTACCAGTTTCAAAGGCTAAGACTATTTTGCAAATTTCAACTCATAGTAAAAAACCAGCTGATGGGGGATTATGAGGTTCGAGAGTCCTTTCTACCACTATGCTGGAAAAAAATCTAGGTTGAGATTAGTCAAGCATTAATGTTTATGATCGCATGTGTCAAAGGACAACCAAATCACAGACAAGTTGTCCAAGTTTCGAAATCCTCGTATTGATTCCTCTCGAAAGCTCAATAAACCACCCACTGCAGAGGAAGGTAAGCAACATAAGCTCAGATGCCTTATTGATACATGCCACCTTTGAAATGGTATGTCACCAAGAACAAGGAAGAATATCAATAACCAATCAGTTCAATTCTGTCACTAAAGGAACTATCTTCAAGAAACTCTATCTACTAATCAATTTCAGGTGAATGGATCCTCTGGAAGCTCAAGAGGTTATGCAGAAAGTAATACTTGGGGATTATGATAATCACTCGGTTGCCGAGAGCCTGGCAAAGTAAATCACCAAAAAGATCCATCACTTGCCAGCAGTCAAAAGGGATGCTCACTCGGTTGCCGAGAGCCTGGCAAAGTAAATCATCAAAAAGATCCATCACTTGCCAGCAGTCAAAAGGGATGCTCAAGCATTTGCAAGGCGCAAATGCTGCCAACTTCACATTAACATCCAAAAAAAACTTAGCCCAACGCAGCAAGCGATCATCTCTCCATGGCCATTCACCCTTTGAGGGGAAGTACTCCATCGATCAATTTTCCATGGCATCTCAGAAACAATGATTCATCCTTGCAATAGTGGACCACTTTATGCAGTGGAGGCAATCATACTTGCTCATTCAACAGCCAAAGCTGTGATCAACTTCTCGTGGTCAAAGATCATCACTCACTTGAGCCAAACATTGATTCTTGTCACTAACAAGGGACCCAAATTCTTGAGCAAGAAGCTTACCAAATTCTGTTCCAGCAATGAAGTCAATCTCCAGTTCTCATTGGTACATCGTACCAAATTTAACCCTAGCAAAGAAAAAAAAAACATTACACATTTAGTTATAGATTTCAGTTATATATTAGCATTCTCCCATTTGACACTAGTCATGAACAGTGAATGTTCTTCCGTAGTTGTAACAAAAGAAATCAGTCGAGCCATATTCAAATATGAAGATTATTACAATTATTTGCAAAAGAAAAAGAAAACGCGTGACCTAATCAAGTTAAATATCAACTAACATCTTCTGTATAATTTAAGATGTGAATATATTCCTGCAGTTTGAAAATTTACATATGAAATCATTCTATACTCCAATTGGTCCATCTTTTAGCACAATTTTTTTTTTCCTGAAGAACAATCAAAAGCAATGCAATTATCTCCAAGTTGTGTTAAAATGTGTACTGCAGCTAGCACAGGTTACAAGCATTTTCCAACATAGAAGAATAAAAATGTAGCTACCCATGGCAGTCAAAATTGAGTGATGGATTCTTTCTTTTGATGTTTGCTGTTTTAGAAAACCTAGATACAGATTTACCTTAAAGAAGTAGTAGATCCACTCGATGGAATCTTCAATGGAAACAAAATCGCAGATAATGCCTCTTTGTCTTGACCAATAATAATTGCTCCTTTGATTGTTTTTGAGTTATTCTCGAGCTTATCCAAAATTTGGCATTCTGAAAATGGCGGAGAATTTCCGAAAGAAATTAAAACTCAAATAAATCAAAATATCCATTTCAGCATATTTGTTTCTAACTCGGTCCAGCAAGATTCCACATCTAACGCAGTACTACTCTTTAACTGGGTTCCGTATTAAAAAAAAAACTCACCGGCAAATCAGAATCACTGTGGAACCACAACACTGGCACAAAGTAATTAAGCAAAGTTTTTAACGTCTAATTCAAAAGGGAGTGAGAGTAAAAAGAAGAAGTAAAATAAGGCACAAATCGAGACAAGGATCTAACTAAAGAAACGAGCCAAGAAAGGTTCAGATTTACTTGCAACTGATCAAGTGAAGTTTTGAACATATTTTTGGCATATAAAAATCTTCAAAGAAGAATTGAGCAGCTAAAGGAAAATACAATAAAGGAACATAATGAAAAGAAAGATAAGAAATATCAAGCTGGATCTTACATCATTATGAAATAAGCTGATAAAATTTGAAAACATCTTTATTACAAAATAAAACTAAAATAGGTGGTGTTCAGCAGAAGATTATGGCGGCATGCCAGATAACAATGATATGGTGCTTCATGCTGGCGATGCATTGTAATGTCCCAAACTTTAAAAAAAAATGCCTAAAATTTTATAAAAAATTATATCTCAATTTTAACAGAGACAAAAATAACATTAAAACTATTTTCTGAAGTTCTAATTAAATTTACTGTTCATCAAGTTAGTTCACTATCCATCCAAATTAAATTTCTCACAATTACAATCAGGAGTTGATGAATTAACAAATGAAAAGGTTATAATTGGTTATAGAATAGATTAATTTCATAATTAACTAATTAATACCAGCATATTCAAAAAATTTCCTCTTACATTCTTTCAATGCTTATATTTATTTTATCTCCTGTAACTTCACTTCAGTGTGTTGGAGGGGAAGAGGGGCAGAAATAGAGGGAGTTCAGGAAAGGAGTAGGGATTTTGGAAATAATTGAATTTAATTGAAGTTGTTGATTAAAGAATTGGTAATTAATTGAGGAAAATGATATTTTGTTATGTTGTTTGCAAAAGAAAATGATATCAAGGAATTATAGTAAGAAAATCCGGTCAAAGAAAATACTACAATATTGGTGAGATACTAAATTTTTAATACAAGAAATATGTGAGTTGTATGTCTAATGTTTATAAATACCAAATAAATGACTAATATTTACAGAATTTCTACAAATTAAAATGTCAATATTGCTAGAAACATTACACTATTTTTATACAATCTCCCATTTTAAGTAATATGAAAAATTATTATACTTAAATCTTATGAATATTTCGTAACATGATGCACAGTATTAAACAGAGTTATGAATTTTATAAATCATGCACTAGTTATATAGGTACATGACAAATGTTAAGTATTTTAAAGGTTTGCGATAATGATGTTATAAATAAAAAAAGTTTAAAAAAGGCATGTCATAAGAAGTTGATCGGAAAATGATGATAATAATATGCATAGTGGATGTGAAAGGCCTCATTAAGCCTGAGTAAAACCCGTATGATGCTTCTCAACTCTTTTAAAATTGGTACAAATGATCCAATCTTAAATTAATGTGCCAAGATCTATAGATATCATACAACACTTTTAAGCCTGTAAATACAAAAATAAATAAATGAAAAGAAAAATAATCAATTCCATAGAAACAATTGATGAACTTAATGTATTAAATATTGACTTTAAAATGAAATATTTGATTGTAGACAGGTATATTTATTGCTTATGGTTGTGTTTTACCAACATAAGCATAAAAGCATGTCTTGCTTTAAAAATTGATGCACTAGATTAGTCATATCTACAATTTACAATGCTCTTGTTAATTTAAAAAGATTCACATAAATGCTATTACCGATTTCTTGTATTTATCTCTTCAATATTCAAAAATATATATCCAATGCCAAGAATAGATAAATTATTTGATCAATTAGAGGACACTACTGTATTTTCCAGGATCGATCTGAGATCGGGATATCGTCGTGTTAGAGTTAAGACAGATACAACCAAGAAAACTTTTGGACCAGCTACAGTCATTATGAATTTTTAGTTTTCTTCTGGTTTAAAAAATGCACCTACAATTTATATGGATCTGATAAATCAGATATTCAATCCTAATGTAAACCAATTTGTTATTATCTTCATTGATGATATCTTGATATACGCAAAAAATAATGATTATCACGCTAAGCATCTTAGAACAGTCTTCAAGTCGCTGAGACAGAATCAATTATTTCAAAATTTTCAAAATGTGCATTTTGGAGGCATATCATCAGTAGGCAAGAAATCTTAGTAGATCCTCAAAAGCTGAAACTAGTCGTGAAATGACCTACACCTAAGAATGTTACAGAGGTATATTGTTTTTGCGGTCTGGTTGGATATTACTGGAGGTACATTAAAGGATCTTCACAAATAACTATGTAATTTTCTAAGTTGATAAGAAAAGATGTTGAGTTTGAGTGGATTGGAGATGTGAGCAATGCTTTTAAGAATTGAATAAGTATTTAACTACTACACTAGCATTAGTTATTCCATCAAAAACAAAGAGATTTCAAATTTACGGCGACGCATTGAGAGGTCTCGGATGTGTTTTAATGCAAAATAGAAGAGTAATAACATATGCATACAAACAATTAAAATTGCATGAAAGAAATTATCTGAAACACGATTTAGAATTAGCTATTATAATATTTGCTCATGAAACTTGGAGACGTTACTTGCATGGTGTGAAGTGTGAAATATTCACTGATTATTCTAAAATATATGTTCATACAAAAAGAGTTGAATTTGATACAGATGAGAACACTAGAGCTTACCAAAGATTATGATCTCAATATACAGTATTTTCCTGACCGAACAAATATAGTTCTTGATGCTTTGAGTTGTAAATCTACAAGTAGGGCTAGTTGGATTATTACTTAAGAGCTGGAATTGATTAAATAAATTGATGTCTTGCAGTTGGAGAACTAGTCCAGTTGGAGATCAGAAGATCATGAAACGTTTGGTATTTACATCAGTTAATTGAACAAATTTAAATAGACTGAATTAAGACAACACAAAAGGTTAGCAATAAAAATCAAATTTCATTGAGTAAATTCAGTCAAGAAAGAGGCAAGATATAAATGTAGATGAAGATGATGTTACCAGAAACAAGTTGTAATTTTGGGTACCTATTGATTTTGATTTGAAACAGAGAATCTTACATGAGTTCATCATTCAGAGCACACAATTTATCCAACAAGCACAAAAAGGTATAAAAGTTATAAATTGTCGTTATGGTGGCCAAATATGAAGAAAGACGATGTTAAGCGTCAAAATGTCAAATTTGTCAGATTGTAAAGGTTGAATATAAGAGACCTAGTAGATTGCTCCAATAATAGCCTATACCTAAGTGAAAATGGGGAGAAACGACAATATATTTTGTTATTGGATTTCCTAGATCTAGGCAAGATTATGATAGCATTTGGGTAATTATTGACAGGTTAACAAAATCAGCACAATTCTTCTCAATTAATACAGACAGACTCGGTGGAAAAATTGGACAAACTGTATGTCAAAAAAATTATTAGATTACATGATATTCCAAAGATTATAATCTTTGATAAAGATGGAAGATTCACACCCAGAATGTGGAAAGGCATTCACAGAGGGAGTATATAATCGCATTTATCCACATACTTTATCCACATACCTATGGACAACCCGAAAGAAAAATCCAAGTAATAGAAGATCAATCGAAGTTGTGTTCTTAACTTTAGAGGCAGTTGCGAAGATCATATTCCAATAATTGAGTCTGCCTACAATAATAATTTTTGATTCAATATTAAACCATTGTATAGCAGGAAGTTCAGAACTCTACTGGGTTGGGCTAAAGTGGGAGCACGTCGGCTGCTAGGTCTTGAATTTGTTGATGAAGCCATAAAGAAAATCAGATTAACCATAGACAGATTGAAATCTGCTTAAGATTGATAATAAAAGTATTATAACTCAAAACAAAAAATAGTAGGGTTCAAGATTGGAAAAATTGTGTTTCTAAAAGTCAAGTCAATGAAAAAAATAGTCTGGTTTGGTTAGGGAAGTAAGTACAGGCCAACATATATTGGTCCTTTTGAAATCATATAAATAATTGGTCAAGTTGCTTATAGGTTTTTACCTGCTGATATGTCGGATATCTATGATATGTTCCATATTTCAATGTTGAGAAAATGGGTTTCAGATTTAGAGCAAAGGATTTCACATGAAGATATTGAGGTGCAGAAAGATTTAACATATATTGAAGAGCCTGAAAATTTTGAAATATTTATTTTAAAAGATTGAGGAACAGATAAATTTCTTTTGTTAAATAAAGTGGAAACATAGACAAGAAACTTAGAATTAAATGTAAACTAAGTGAATTTCATATGTCAGGCCGAGATATATTGGTCCTTTTGAAATCATATAAATAATTGGTCAAGTCGCTTATAGGCTTTTACCTGCTGATATGTCAGATATCTATAATGTGTTTCATATTTCAATGTTAAGAAAATGAATTTCAGATTCAGAGCAGAGGACTTCACATTAAGATATTGAGTTGCAGCGAGATTTAACATATATTGAAAAGCCTATAAGAATTTCATAATTTGATTTAAAAGGTTGTGGAACAGATAAATTTCTCATGTTAAAATAAAGTGGAGCCACAGGCCAAAAACTTAGAATTAAATGTCAATTAAGTGAATTTCATTCAAGAGATTGACTATCTTAGTACATTAAATGTAAACTTTTAATGATGCAGCTGATTGCAGACAATATAATAAGTACATATGAATGTGTTTTACAGATATAATCATAAATCTTGACTGGCAGAAAATTGATGCACTAAATTAAGGTCTATGATTTACAAAACTCATGTTAACGAAAAGTGTTGGTGTTTTTTTTTTTTTTTTTTTGTATTTTGAACGTTGTATTAGATTGCTAATCCCACCAATT